ATTTTTTTCTCACTGGGAAGAAGAAAGAAATTCAGTCTTGTAAAAGCTCTCTCTTCCCCTTCCTGGAATTGAAATGTGGGATCTCAAACTCTCTGGCAGTGCCTCTTTTAAAGGCTGTGTTTTAAATGCTGACTGCATCTGTTCTCCACTGCTGGCAGAACAGGCTTTTGATGTGAGAACGACCCCGTGGAGCAGCTCACTTCTCTGCTGCCTTCTCCCCTTACACCTTCAGAGCCACACTTGCCTCCCTCTCTTCCCCTTCCTGGAATTGAAATGTGGGATCTCAAACTCTCTGGCAGTGCCTCTTTTAAAGGCTGTGTTTTAAATGCTGACTGCATCTGTTCTCCACTGCTGGCAGAACAGGCTTTTGATGTGAGAACGACCCCGTGGAGCAGCTCAGTTCTCTGCTGCCTTCTCCCCTTACACCTTCAGAGCCACACTTGCCTCCCTGATGGGGCAATTAGCCCACCCCTGCAGCCAGCCTCTCTGGCTGCAGCCAGCAGCTCCAGCCAGGTCTCTCTGAAGAGCTCCTCGTGTTGTCTGGAGCACAGATGAAGCAGGGCAGTGCCCAGGGCTGAGCAGACCCTGCAGGGCTCCATTTGTGGGCTTGCCTAAGGACCCACAACGTGCAGAGTCCTCAGATGGCAACGCTGTCTCTGCTCGAGGTGTGGGGGGATTGCAGGAGGCTGGGGGATGAGGGCACCCAGGGGACCCCCTTGGCCCTGCAGAGCTTAACCCTTGGGTGCTCAGAAATGAAGCTTTCTGGTCCACCAGACCTCCAGTCTTAAATGGAGAGGTTGAGATGCTGAGGAAGTGCCTCTGGAGATGAGCTGTGTGGTGCAGACATGGTGCTTTGTGTGTGTGTGGGGGTGGCACTGCCCTGGCTGCTGTGCAAAGGGGCAGAGCCATGGGGTGTGCTGGATCCCACAGGAGATGTGTGGCAGGAGGAGCAAAGTCTGATCTCCAGCCATGGGAGACTCAGGGGACTAAAAAAAAGCCAAATCTCTGCGTTCAACAGCAGCACTTGCTTCTCAGGGGAGAAAGGTGGGTGGAGAGAGATGTGAAGCATCCCATTAGCCTGGCCTTGGCTCCAGAGCTTTGCACCAGCAGCTGGGGACCCATTTCCCCTTCAGACCCTTGGAACATCTCAGCCAACCTCTGTAGGGAAGGGAGCACCAGCAGTGATGCTTCAGCCATGCAGCCTCTGCTCAGGTACCTGCTCCCTGTACTGACTGCATGGGCAGCACCACGAAAATTATAGGTCCATTAATTAATTCCTAAATGGTGGTGGAACTCCCCAGGGAGCGCGTACAGTGTGAGCACTCTATTAATTCATCTTGATTAACATTAGCACAATGAATGCCAAATGAATTCATAACGATCAGCCAATTATTTAAAAGTGTGACAGATGGGATCTTCCTAACTCCAGGAGTGCACTCAGGCAGTGCTGGCTGATCTTGTGGTGCTGGGGCTGCGTGAGGATGGCTTTGGAGAAGGGCAGGAGGCTGGTGTGTTGGCAGGCAGTAGATATTTGGGGTATAATCCCCATGTAGGTAAAGCTGGAATAACTCCCCTGGTCCCCAGATAAATCTCTCTCTTGTTGTTAAAATAAAAACTCACAGTAGCTCGTGGCAGGTTTGGAGGTGTCCTAAGGTTGCCCTAGACCTGAAAGTGAGAAGTTGGATCTTGCTGAGCTTGGGTTTTGAGCAAGTCTTGAGTTTCATGTGTGATATTGAATCTGAATGAGGGTTGGCAGAGGGATGGTGTCCACAAGCAGGCAAGAAAGACCCTCCTGATGGGTTTTCACCCAGGGTCTGGCCAGCCTTGGGTGGCAACTGATGAGGAGATCACCACCAGGTGCCCCCACCTTCCACATTAAGCTGGAGGTGTGGCAAGAAGCCACCTCTATAAGAGCTTACCCTGCTTGCAGTAGGTTTGGGTGGGCTGTTTATACAGTTTATGGGTTGTGTGAGGGTTCTGGTTATTGAAAGGCCTCCTTGACTCTTCATGGCAAGTGGAGTTTCCAGGGTGGCAGAACAAGATGATGAGTTTCTACCTAGGAACATACTGTATAACTGGACTGATTGCCTGAGTCCTTCCTTCTCCCAGGGCATGGTTCCTTGCCCAGCTCCCTCCCTTCTGCACATCCTTTCCAGTGGGTGAGTGCATTGACTTGTTCCTCCTCTGGCAGTCTGGCACTTTGGGTCTCTGGGGTGTGATGTGGGAGTGGCAGGGGGGGGTTTGGCTGTGGCTCTGC